CATTAACACGTTGAATGCCGCACGATATTAAGGTGCAGAATATACGAGATGAAAAAAAATACAATATTAAATTATTTCATTGAATTGCATTGTTATTATTGCAGGTTTATTTTGCTGAGTGTCACCGCATTAGGTAGCGTTATTTACAATTAGTAATGTTTTCAAATATTCATCGTTTAATTGAGGGAATTACAGTAATTGAATTTGGGCGGGGGTCAGCGATCCCCCATGGCATGTTGGAACGTGGTAAGAAAAAAATGTGCAATCAATATAGAATGTGCTCCATATTAGATACTCAATGGAGTAAAGTACTGCAAATTGCTTTAGAATAATAAAAACCAAATATGTTTAAAGATAAATCTTAAGAAAGTAATATTTTTAAATCTGTCTATACTAAACTAACTAACTACATATTTAACTCGTCTCTCAAAAAATTTTATATACTACTATTACTTACAACTATTCGTATGATTATTTCATTGAAGTGTTCCCCATGGTGACTAACACATTAAACTATTTATTTTCTAAAATATCGTAGTGGTCCATATTAAGCACCGTTACTCTATGTACAAACAAGTGATAAAAATAGTATTAAATATTATTGAAAGAGTAAAAATGTAGATGTTAGTAACGATATTTTGTGTACCTTTTTGAAATTCAAGCATATCTAAGAACGTATAAAAAAATGGTTTTAAACAGAAGATTAAACAGATTTAATAGTGTTAAAAACGTAACATCGCAGTTGCGCTGAAAGAAACCCGAAAAACGTAACAGGCTTAATGCATATGTATCGGTTCAGTATCCTTAATCAGTTAACTGCGTTTTACGAGTACACACGTCATCTTAAAGCTTGAAATGATACTAATTCTTTTAGCGATGAATTGTTTATTTCCTCAAATAAACATGTAATTCTTTTTCGTTTTACTTTAATTTTTCATTCAAATATACCATAGGTTCACTCATCCTGCGTTTAACAAGTATACGCTGCATTTTTTTAGATTTCTGAAACTAAATTCAACAGTTAACAAGTTACATAAGTATTCTACCAACTACAAAGCAATATACTTATAAACTTCATATCTTTGTGAGATAGTTTCGACGGTTCGCGCGACTGGTTACCAAAATCAATTGTTTAATCACATTCAAATAATCCCACGACTGGTTCTTCTT